TTTAACACATGCAATTCTCAATTATACCAAAGCAATGGGAGGCCGGGGACCTCACAGTTCCACCCGGAAGTTATCTCGGCAGCATCAGCCGATTTCGCTTTTCACAGGACCTGTTACGGACCCGATCAGTAGTCGTTATTCACTAGTATCAGTAGCTCAGTCACGTGTCAAGCTCTAAACATTCAACTAACAACTCACCTATAGGAGATTCTAAATACCGTTACTGTGTAAACAATTACTCAGCTCTCACTACCTTACCACTGTCCTAATTAACTCTCTACGAACTCCATCCTTCTACCTATGTACCAGGGACATCTACTCTGCCTAACTACTTATTCCTAATACACAGACCTACGAGACGGTCCGGACCCGGTCTAATCCGACCGGGAGGGAAAGGATTCCCTTTATCGAACTGGCACTCTCCACCCTCAAACCCCGTTACGGTCCACTGTAACGGCCGACCGGAACCGAGTGCCCTGGTTCTTACCACAAACTATCCACCAGGGCCAAGAAAACCTCACAAACCAAAATGCTAACTACTCCGCTCCCTATTTTTACTTCAACCAGCTTGTCACCTCCAGTCGACCCTGTGGGGTGATCTTTGCCAGTCTCTCCTCAAAGGCCCAGGTTTCCCTGAACCATTTCAAAACGGCCTGCCTGTCTCCTCTCTGCACTTTTCGGAGCCAGTCTGCTTTGATCTGGGTTCCCATCATATGTCTGAAGATTCTCTCCGCCTGCTGTTCCTGGAGTGGCGTCCCTTGGAAGCGTCTCCCATTCCTGTCCAACCAGATAGTCCACATCATTGTCAGCCTGTCAACTTGTGCAATGTACCCCCACCCCTTTCTGGCTGACACCTCGGGGGGTAGGGTCCCTTGTAGGACCCATCTCTTTCCTGTCAGTTTGTCCGTTCCAGAGAAGGCCACCCAGTGCCTTTCCCACCACTTCCACCATCTGTTCGAGATCTTGCAGTCCCACCACAGGTGCTGCATTGACTCGGTGTCTTCTGCACACCTGTCACACTGACTCCTTACCTCCATCTGACGGTCTTGGAGCCACTTAGCAGTGGGCACTGCAAGATGGGACTGTAGCCAGGCCAGTGAAGCCAACTTCAGGGAGGGAACCTCCTTCAGTTGGGTCCAAAGTACTGTTAGCTCCAATTTCGACGGCGGTTCTATCTCTGGGCCATGCCGTTGCCATTTTGCTGAGATCAGTTCACTCGCATGTGGCTGTTTCCCTTGTAATGAGAGAACCATGCTGGAGGACAGCTTCCCCAAACCCCAGATGGCACCATTGTCCCCCTGCCAACCCCAAACATCCGGGTCTATCTTCATGGCTCGTAAAGGAACTGCTTCTACTACCAACATCAAGGTATCCGGATCCCCTGCTTGTTTTGGGGGTAGCCTTCGTACACGGATTTCTTCAAGACCGTTCAACCCATACCTCCAGGAGATCCCTGAGATGGACAGTTCAGGGAGCTTTTGTACCGCTGGTATGTACTTCTCCAACCAACATTTCCCTGACCCGTCTTCTGTCCATTCCTGCAGTCTGTAGTAACAGGGCTCGTCACCGCAGGTCTCCACATACCATGTGTCCACTGGGTTTACTCCCTCTGGGCCTAGGAGTTCTACCACTCCGTGGGGATACCTTCTTTTAGCTCCTGTATTCTGGCCTCCTGATGTGGGAGATGTGCCAGCTTAGCCTTTAGCTGCTCCTCCGCTCGCCACGAGTTTGTGAGATCATCCCAAAGATCAGCAACCGTGGCCATCCCCCGTTGTATCCATCTCATCCCATAGTTACCTGCTTTAGCATCTGCAGGGATCGGTACTCCCCCTTGGCTTCTGATGTTCGGGTTGTCGAACAAACGTTGCCTTTTCACTTCCTCCTTCGTCACAGGCAGTTTCCTTAGCGGAGGCTTCACTTTCTTCCAAGTTGAGATGACGCCCTTCCAGAATGTGGACTTTGTGTGCTTGTTGATGAAGCAGTCGTGAAATATTGCCACCCATACATCCGACCGCCTACTGAGTCCCCATTTTTCTGCCAGTATAATTTCCGCCATGCATACCCAGTTTGTGTTGTCACCTTTCCCTGCTACCTTCTCCACCCACTTGCACAAAAGGGATATGTTTTGGGCCTCCGGGTCCAGCAACCCCAAACCTCCTTCCTCCCGTGGTCTGCAGACCACTTCCTATGCTACCTTGGATACGTATCCTTGGCATGACTGGCTGTCCGGTTTCCACAGAAAACGGCGGGCTGTATCCTTTATCAGCTTCAGAGTTCCTCTGGAGAACTCCCTTACCTTTCCTACATACCCCAGCAGGGCAAAAGCCGAAGCTTTAAGTACTAAAGCTCTACCAATTAGAGACAGATGCCTTGCCTTCCCCCAACTTTGAACTCTATTGTTCAACCTTTGCACAATGATTTCATTCTGCACTTCCGAGCAGTTCTCCATTGCCACCTGCACTCCCATAAATCTTTCGGCCTTTCCTGCTGGCAACCGTTCCATCCCCCACTCTACCGCACTTACAAACTGTTTTGGAAGGAAAAATAAGGATTTTGACCAGTTGACTGCCGCTTCCGACAGGTCTGCATAAATGAGCAGACATGACTTCAGGGCCTGTAGTGAGTCCGCCGTATTCACTGAGACAGCGAACAAGTCATCAGCCAGTGCTTTAATCTTGCGCTCTTTACCATTCGGAAGACACAGGCCTCTGTAGTCCGGATGGTTTCTCAGATTGTTGAGCAAAACCTCCAGCTGAACCACGAACAACAGAGGGGCCAGCGGGCATCCCTGCCGTAGGGACCTTGATAGAGTGAATTCCTCCGACAGAAAACCGTTTACACAGACTGAGGCTGTTGCACTGCCATATAGAGCTACAACCCAACCACAGAAACTTTCGCAAAATCTCATGGTCTTCAACGTTGTCATCATGAACGACCAATTTACTCTGTCATATGCTTTTTCCAAGTCTAGCATCAGCACAGAGATATCACTGTCGTTCCTGTCGATGAGTTCTAGGGCTTCGATCGCTGTGACTATATTTTCAGAAATAGACCTACCTTTCACAAAAACACCTTGTTCCTCGCCTATCAGACTAGGAAGATGTCTGCCTAATCTTACCGCTAGGGTTTTAGCTAGGAGCTTATAACTTACATTAAGTAATGAAATAGGTCTATAGTTTCGCACTTCGCCACGATCCCCTTTCTTGTACAACAGGGAGATAATCCCTCTGGCCATCGTGCGGCCTAGTTTCCCTCCCTCCCTGATTTGGTTGAACAGTTCTACCAAATCTCCAGCTAGCATCTCCCAATGAACCGTAAGGAATTCAATGGGCAACCCATCGTCTCCTTGCCAGCGATTGCATTGTTTGAGTAAGCTCTTCGTCTGAGATCGGCTCTTCTAGATCCAGGATCCCCGTCTGTGACAGTTTGCCCGGTACCTGGTCCCAGAAGGGGGATTCCAAGGACAAGTCTGTTTGGAATCCCTGCTGAGGATACCTTGGTCCCAGAAGGGGGATTCCAAGGACAAGTCTGTTTGGAATCCCTGCTGAGGATACCTTTATGTGAGGATATTACTGTAGAATGCTGCTGCATACTCACAGATATCTTCGTTCGATCATGCCGGAGTTGTACCGGGTCTCAGAGGATGCTTCAATTCACTCACTTGAGCTCTCTTGTTTGCAGGAAGCAGCTTCTTGAAAGTGTCTTTCGACATTTTATCTCCTGATGCTATCCCTTTCTCTTGTAAGATGTGCTCCCATCTTTTCTGCTTTTCCACCTGCAGGTCGTCCCATTCTTTCATTCTCTCTTGCCGCTCCTCTGCCCAGACCTGGTTCGAAATTGGGTGTTCTCCCATCCTCTGTTCTGCCTCTTCAACTTTCTTCCTGCAGTCCGATTCCTTAGTGTTTCTTAGGTATGCTGCTATTCTTGAAAAGGTGTTGAGCCTGTGAGAGACGATGTGAAGGCCCGCGTCCAGCCATTCTGCCTTGGCCTCAAAATGTATCTCGGCCTGCTTCCACTGTTTCCAAAAAGTTTTCGTCCAGTCCCGAATGCCTTCATCCTCCAGATTGATTATGTCAAGTCTGAAGCATCTGGGGCCCCGTGCTGACTCACTGCCCGTCCCCACACTGAAGATCACTGGTTTATGATATGATAATGAGGCCGATCCTTCCTGAGCCGACTGCACCATTCCAGTCAGTTGGTTGAATGTCAAAAAGAAATCCAGCCGACGTTGGACTCCGGCCGCTGGTCCTCGATTCCCAAACCAAGTGTAACCCAGGGACAAGGGGTTCATCAGCCTGTAAACATCCACAAGGCCCCATGCTTCCTTCCAACGAATCAACGCTCTCTCACTTGAATGGATCCCTATGTCCGCCTCAACGTCTGCCTTGGAATCCAGGACGGTATTCCAGTCACCACCTACCACTAGCCTGTCAGACTCCGGGAGATTGTACGATAAGGACTCGAAAAATTTCCGATGATCCCTCTGTTCATTTGGGAGCGTAAACTGTTACAAACGTCCAGTCCTGCCCTTCTATCTGAACCTTGACCCAACACCATCGTCCCCATAAGTCCGAGTTGCTGTCTACTAAACTAGCCTCAATCCTTTTATGGAGCAGGATAGTCACTCTCCCCCTGGTTCCTCTAGCGGGGGACCAAAGTTGTGGGTCGTCCCACCATTCTTTTAAATCATTTAGTCTCAGTTCCGACAACTTTGTCTCTTGGATCAAGGCCACATCAATATTTCTTTCGTGGATCCAAAATTTCACCCTCTTGCCTTTTTCCCTTCCTCCCGAATCTCCTAGCCCTCTAACGTTCCATGTTCCAATCCTTAATTTATTCATTAATCCTTGATGGACCGCCTGGCAAGTGGATGCGGTTAAAAGTACCCTCTCTCTGGTTTGCCCCGATCGAAGGTTCTGTCCAAGGGTTGCTCAAGTTCCTAGCGAACAGTTCTGAAGCAAAATTCTGCCAAGATGGCATTTTGTTTTTCAGTTCATCAAAGGCCGTGGCCGGAACTCCAGGATCTACCACAATTTGTGATAGCATCGTTAGCGAAGGATCAGAAAAGGCATTAATTGGCACGCTTGTTAAACCGACTCTGCTGATGTTCGCCCACTGTTCTTCTTCGAATCTGGCATCGATAAGCGGGATAGAGTAACGAACTCTCTTCCCTCCTGGAAGATCTACGTCCATCTTTGGCATTAGTCCGTCCGGACAAATCTTGAATCTGAAGCGGTCAACAAACATCTCCCTGACCTTGCGTAGGATGACCTCCACCGTTGCCAGACCATCGATTTGCTGAGCTGGTATCACCATTTTTCCATCCTTATTAACCAGCCCCACTACGTGGACCTCTTGTGCTTGCATCATGCAAACTAGAGGCATTAACCAACGTTCCTCATATCCCCCTACTCCACCTTGGTGCTCTTCAAGTCCCCCTGGGACTTGAGTCGGCGAGGACATGTGCGTCGCGCTGCCGCTCTGGTCTCGAGAGCTGCTTGGATTACCGTGCAGAGCGCCCGCTTGTACTTGATGAATTTCCTTGACTCCGTCTGTCCCTGCTCCTATGCCGGCTCCCTGATACCCCCCCTGACCACTCTGTTCAGTATACTGACTTTGGTATGGGACAAAGGAACGCTGATGGCCCCCTGTCGAGATGTGGCCTTGATACCCCCTAGCCTCATTCATGTACTGGTTGTTGCCGAATAGCTGTGGGCTCATCTGGTACGTAGGTGTCAGTGGCATCGCCGTATTCCCCATCGGCAGGAGGTTGTCGAGTCTCCGATCTTGGTTCAACATTTGGAATAGAGTTTGCAGCTGGTACATGTCTGCTTGTTGGTTGTATAACGGCGGGAGTACTTGTTGCTGTTGTTGTTGCCAGGCGCCTTGCGGGAGCATCTGGTGTGCTTGCGACGGTCCGTAATTAACCCCTCGCTGGACATTCGGGGTTCCACCTCGCAAGTGAGTGGTCGCTCCTTGCGGCTTGATAGGTTGAGAACCTCCAGGCTGATGATTCCCATGTGACGAGGATCCCGCTTCTGATGTGGTACCCCTCCCCACCTGAACGTTTCTTGCAGCCTCTCTGATATTGCTGTTTTGACCTCCGTTTGCCTCCCCGCCGCGTCTTCCTCTTTCGTTGTTTCTCTCAAAATCCGACTCTCCTCCCTGTTCCTGTGGCAGTTCTCCCATCCTCGGACAACCTTTTGTTGCTTTGTGGAAATACCAGCGGCACGTGGCACACCATGGAGTGTTTTTGCAAGCGAACTTGATGTGGTATACTTCTCCATCGTCAAGCTTGATGGGGAGTTCCTCTTCAAAAGGTCTTCTGCTTCTCTTGCGAGCTCGAATTTCAGATTCATGAGCTTTGGCCTTGACTTATCTGGCTCCGGGGGAAGCGACTTCATAATTCTTCCCATCGCCGATTCAACCATGCTCTCGACATGGAACATCATTCGTAAGGGGACTCTCAACGCCACTACCCATAATTTGGTTGCGTCATCTGCTCTGCGTCTTTCCTCCAACTCCGCTTTAGTCATCCATGGTTTAAACACCATGCCGTACTCAATTCCACGAATGACTACTTTATCTTCCCCTTTCGCTATCATCCACCTGGCCACTTCCCCTGACTTGGCTACATACGAGAGAACGTTTGGCCCTTCTCCATGAATCCTTCCCCTTTTTATTGACCTGTCACATATCCTCTCCCTATACCATCCGTTTTCATATGCTCTCACCAAATCCTCCCTAATTCGAAGGGGTAAGTCCCTTGCCTCTCCCTGAAATATCACGGTAACCGTCCTTTCTTTCAGCCACGAGGTGACCAGAGTGTCGAGCCCCTGGTTTACTCTGAATAAACGAACTCCTGCTTCGACCACCCATTCACCATGACAAAACTTCTCCGGTATGATGCCGTCTTCGTAACACTTCGCGATTAAGGACTTCATTCTATCTTCGTCCGACATCGGAATATCAACTCTTGCCGCGGGAACTGTCGTTCTCCCATTTGCCTGTTCCACTCCTGTTGGCTGGTCTTCCATCCTCTTCCTTCTTGAACTAACTCGTTCCTATGACCTATGACTTAGTCAACTTCTCGCGTCGAAGGCGGGCGCCCACGCGCTCGCCCAACACCGGTCCTCACGTCTTCAAAACACTCACGACTCTCATGACAACTTGGTTAACGAGATCTCTGTCACACTGGCTCGACGGCAGGAAGGCGGAGCTCTCGGCATCTCCGAGGCGGTATCTCCTCTAATCGCCCGCTCGGCTTGACGGCGGGTCGAGCGACCGTCGAGACCGGCCGCGGCAGAGCTACGAGAGGTTAGCGCTGTCCACGTCCGGTAACGCAAGTTCGGATCTCTGTCACACTGCTGCAACTTCCACCCTCTCTGTTTTTTTTTTCCCTTTTTTTTTGTTCTTTTTGTTTTCGTCGGCCTCCAACCCTGCCAATGGGAACTTGCCACTCTTGCCGATGGGTCTAATGGATAGCCCCAATTTATATGGAACCTCCGACCCATAGCACAACTGATCCCCCTCTGCATTCTAACGTAGACGCGCCGTCCATCCATATACACCCACCACCATGACAACTTGGACAACCCACCTCAGTAGGCACGATTCACGCACACTGACATATCACAGCGACCATTTTTGCTTCGTTCAATGATGCAAGTATATGAAAAGTCCATCCAACGTATCCATCGTAAGCCATTTCCATACAGGAATCGTTGTAAGTATTTACGACGACAAACACAACGTAATTTTGTAGAGGGAAGACAACGACAACGACAACGACAAGGGGCTAACCAATAAAATGCAAGCACGATACCCCACGAAACCCTAAACGGAAAAGATTGCACCGACAACAAACAGAGGCTGTGAGATGAAGCGGCCATCTACGCCGCACACCAGTCGCCCACAATCGCTGCAGTCACACAATACAACTACTACGCCAGCAGGTGGGACCCAGCCCCAGTACGGCCCTGTGTAGAGGGCTAGGGTGTTGTTGGCTGTTGCAGGGCGGCGCTTTCCCTGCACCGAGGTCCAACCAGCTATGTAACCGGGTGAACGCGCTGAACGGGCGTTCACGTTCAAACGCGCGCGTTCATACCCCCGAAGGCCGCGTTCATTCGCATTCAAACGCGCTGCGCGTAACGTGGCGCGAAAAAACTGAACGCGACCCCGGGGGGCGCACGTGCGCGTTACGGACTACGAGGTGGTGGACCTCGTTCTAAGAACCCCAAAACTGCAAAAAAAAAAAAAAAAACACAGGCCTACCCGCCCCTACCGCATCACCCCCGCCATGTGTGAAAATTCCTTCTTTTTTTTTTTTTTTTGAGTGGGTGGGGGAATCCCCCTAACACAGCTCAGATAGCCCATGGAGGCTATCTGAAGGGTCCGCGCAGACATGTAGCGCAGACCCCCCCACCAAAATCGAGGCAGACAGTGAATATGAAATAGAGTACGAGCTGGCCCAATATATACTCAAGATTCGAATTCAGGTCTGTGTTTCAGCAGCTATGGGTTGCTCACGGAGCTAGGGCCTATTGGTCACTGCACGTGACTCTTAGGGCTTGGCTGCACTACCCAGTGTGTGCTAAGTTAGAATGAATCTTCTGCAGAACGTGGAATAAGACGCCATTGTTTTAATTTTTTCTTATTTTTCTTTATTCTCATTTTTTATTTTTCTTGTTGTTCTTTTTTTCTCGTTTTTCTTTTTTTAGGAATACGTGCAGTGGCCCTAAGGGCCTTTACTAAGTTAGAATGAATCTTCTGCAGAAAGTGGAATAATACGCCACCATATGTTTTGTCTTTTCTTGTTTTTCTTTTTTCTCATTTTTCATTTTTCTTGTTGTTCTTTTTTTATCGTTTTTCTTTTCTTAGGAATACGTGCAGTGGCCCTAAGGGCCTTTACTCACCAACTGCACAAAAGACAAAACATATGGTAGCGTATTATTCCACGTTCTGGAGAAGATTCATTCTAACTTAGCACATTTCGTGAAGTAGTGCAGCCAAGCCCTAAGACTCATGTGCAGTGACCAACAGGCCCTAGCTACGTGAGCAACCCATAACTGTTGAAACACAGACCTGAAATCGAATCTTGAGTATATATCGGACCAGCTCGTGCTCTATTTCATATTCACTGCCTGCCTCGGTTTTGGTGGGGGGGTCTGCGCTACATGTCTGCGCGGACCCTTCAGATAGCCTGCATGGGCTATCTGAGCTGTGTTAGGGGGATTCCCCCACCCCCTTGAAAAAAAAAGGACCTTACACACACATGCACACACACACGTGCACACACACACACACACAAATTCACACACACACACTGTTCTTTTTTTTTTTTTTTTTTCCCTGTTTCGCCTGGGGCTTTGGCCCACAGCCCCCCCAAGCACCGCCCGCTCCCCACGCTGCCCACAATCCCCCCAAGCACCGCTGCTGCTCCCCACACTGCCCAAAGCACCACCCCACCCCGCCCACCTCCCTGCGCGAACGCGTCCAACGCGTTCACGCGCGTTCAATGAACGCGCGTTCACTGTGTTCATACCTTGAACGCGAAACCCGGGTTCAATGAACGAGCGGTAACATAGCCAACCAGCACCAACGCCCGCCCGTCCACTGGAACAAGCACATGCAGCACACTGGCACCGGCACCAATGCCCGCCCGTCCACTCGAACAAGCACATGCACGCACACTCGCACATGCACGCACACACGCACAAGCACGAACACACGCATGCATGCATCACAGGCAGACTGTCGGGCTTCAACCTCTTGATGAGTTGGTGAAAGTCCAGCGAAACAGTCTGGCACAGTCGTGCTTTTTTCGTGGGGTTCAAACAAACACATGAACTGCGTGTGGGTGGGTGGGTGTGCGCGAGCGGACGCGCGACACACACACACACACACACACACACACACACAGAGAGAGAGAGAGAGAGAGAGAGAGAGAGAGAGAG